CTATTCACAGATCCTTAGAAAGACTTGGAAAGATGTCTAACGCAAATCTTCAAAGTAAAGGAAATTTAACCCAGAAGAAAACAGTAACACACAAGAGACAGCCGTGTTCACACAATGGTGGCCACTTTACCTGATGAACAGTTCACCACAAGTAATGTGAATTATAACCTAGGAGGAGGTTTAATAGGTGAGAACAAAGTTTTAGAAAACAAAGTTGGAGTAAGTGAAAACTGGAACAGTAAACAGTAATTGGAAATGATGTTTTCTGAGGTTTTCACATTATTCATTAGCTGCCTTGTTATGTATTCATGTTAAAATTTAAGAGTAATAAGTGAAAAAGTATAAAGAGAATTTTATCTCCCAAGTCAGCAGAAGGAAAGCATGTGTTGAAAGAGAAATGCAGTAACCTGAAGTGTGAATGGGAGACAATAATAAAGAAAAGATACGTTAAACAGAAAACACAAATTTATACAGCACCAAGAATTCAGAATACATCAGTGATTCTAAAAGTGCAGGTAAGTCAAACTTCAGCTCTAGAAGTATGAGACCTGAGTGAAAGTGAGCTGTGAACACGTCCTTGCAGGGTGGAGCCTACAGGTGAGATCCACTGGCACAGCACCTGCGTGTGTGACACCATCACGCACAGGAAGCAGCACACCACTTTCAGGAGGCGGTCCCTCTGGGGAGGAGGAAGAGGGGGAAGAACATGGAGCTGTAGCCCCCTCGTCAAGAGATGTTCTAGAACAATCATGGCAAAATGGCAGTGCCCGTCCAACCTGGCTGTGCCTGGGACAGGGCTTCCCGACACTAGCACTCCAAGGCACACCACCAGCTGTGTTTACCGCACACAGAAGGCGCTCACCAGGCTGCTGGGAGCTCAGTGAGGCTGGCCCGGGAGCCTGCCACCAGCAGCACGCATTGTGAGGAGCCAAAATGTCCCAGCACATCCTGTCCCCACACAGTTGGGAAGCTGTGCTTCACGTYCTTTCCCGGGCTTCTCTGCGGGTTCATGTCCCAGCACACCCTGTGTCCCCCCMAGTTGGGAACCTCTGCTCTGTGTCCTCATCAGCAGAGACGCACTTCTCAGGGTCCTCAGCAGCAGGCTGGACACGACAGTGGGTCCGACATGGGATGCTGGAAGCTTCTCCCAGGCAGGGCACAGCTGGGGCCATCACAGCAGAAGCGCCTGGCTCCGGCCGGACTGGGTGGGTGGTCACATGTGACACAGAGGGCTACAGGGAAAACCACAGGGGCCCGGATGCTGACAGACCACGCTGACAGACACAGGCCCTGGGCGCAAAGCCTSGAGCCGGCTCTGCTGCTGGGATGCACGTCTCCCTGGCTTCTCCAGAAGGGCCTCTTTCCTTCCAGTGACACAAGGTGCAGCGGTAGGTCACGCCGGAGGGGGGCAACGTAGACAGGCCTATGAGGAGCGCTGAACACTAGCCCGCCTGTTCAGGGAGCAGAGCCTGCCCTGGCTACTGCTGCAAACTCCCCAGGTCCCTTCCCCTCCATGTTACACCACAGGGGAGCCGCCTGGACTCTGTGGTCCTGCTGGAGCCCATGGAAGAGAGGGGCGTGTAAAGACGTACACACACATGKAGACACAAGAGACAGAGAGGTTCGCAGACTCAGAGAAAGTTTCACAAAACAAGCTCCACCCCAGGTGGACTGACAGCTCAGTGCACCCAGAGGTGACTCCAAGAAGACTTCCTGAGTGTCGGTGATGGTGACCTGGGACCAGAACAGCACAGCAGTTGTGACAACATCCTCAAACAAATGCGCTCTCGTGCTATTTCTTTCGGCTCTTCTCATGAGATTAAACTCTGAATTCACGGATTGCTCCTTCAGTCCATACCCGTAGCTCACTTCTGTCCTGCCACCCATGATGCTGGGTTCAGAYGTAGTGAGAGTGAGCTCGTTCCTACAGGTGTGTTGGACTCAGAACCAGGAGAAGGTCCTCATAAGAGAGGATGAATTGAATCCAGGTGAGAACACCATGAGAAGCCCACTCACTCATCCCACGCGGGCAGGAACAGAAGTTCATTCTCTGCCATACCAAGGGCTTGAAGTCAAGTTTCCCTTCTCCAACTGAAGTTTAGTTTGCTGCTTTTTATATTTCAGAAACAAGGGATTTGTAAATGCTTCATTAAACAGTCTTCATCTGTGACAGCCATGCTTTCTTCTCTCCCCGGAGCTACTTCCTAAAAGGAGTCTTGGCCGCAGATGAGAGTAACAGCGCAGAGGAGGGGTGCTATACCAGGGCAGGAGCAGGGAAGCCAGCAGGCTGGGGGTCTGCCGGACTTACAACCTCAGTGGGGTAGAGTCCACCAAAGATGGAGAGAGAGCTGGACGATGTTTTTGGAGGCAAGAAAACCAAACTCYGAAAAAGTAAGAAAATAAGACATGTTTCCAAACAAGAAACCCTCCCTCGAAGGGTCCAGGGGATGGAACAGATCTGTGGGCCCACCTCCTCCCCCACAGCTTGCCTCACAGACCAGGAGGACACCACGGGAAAGCTCACCTGGAGGGYTGCCGCCGTAGGGGGCTGCACTGATGTCACTGGGGACGTTAGGACATAAGGAGTCAAGAGCTCCCGTGCAGGTGCCCTTCTGCCTTCTGTTCATTTCTGCCTCGTCAACTGTTCACATGTTGAGATCATGGCCACCACAAGGTTTTCACTCTGCTGTTGGGTATCCCCAGAGTGCTGAGTGACAGGAGGTCGTCCTGTCAGGATAAGGTGTAAAATGCATTTACAGGGTCACTGCAGATCACAGAAGGTGGGGAAGGAAATTGGGGTAAGCAGAATTCTATGCTGACCCCAGGGACTGAGGCCTCTGTAGAAGCCCGTTCTGCAGATGGGCAGAGCCAGTGATGGGTCTCTCTTCCAAGGGCAGCTCCACAGACCACCACAGCAAAAGTAGGTACTGTAGTAAGTAGATATTGAGAATAGTGGTATTGGGAAGAGTTGGTTTTTTCTTTTTTCTTTTTTTTTTTATTGGTTGTTCACAACATTACAAAGCTCTTGACATCTCATATTTCATACATTAGAATCAAGTGGGTTATGAACTCCCATTTTTACCCCAAATACAGATTGCAGAATCACATCGTTGTAGTTTATTGTTTGATATATCTCTTTTTGTCATTTCAACCTGTTTGGATTTTTCTTAAGGGTTATATTTTCAGCATTAACTAAATATTGTTTTCATTTTCTACAAAGTTTTCTTAGCATAAGAATATCTAAACTGATAAAAATGTTTGTCCTTGGAACTAGTGATTTAACAGCATTGCTTATTTCCTGAAATGTTTGTTCAGCTTTCTCTAGCCAATTTCTTGTGGGATGATGGCCTTTACACTGCATTAATTGGCATCAGAATGCACTGCACAACAGTTGGTTCCTTTCCTAAAAGGCTCAAGGCAATTTTTAAGTCCAAATTGGAAGAGTCAAGGGAAGGGTTCATCCATCAGCTAATTCAGGAAGCTATAAAAGTCTTCGCATTGCTGCAGAATAGCTTTATTTTCAAAACAGGAGGAGCATTATTGTCTGCTTTAATTGAGAAGCTGAACCTAAACTTGAATTTCCTTCTTTTCAAAGGTGAGTCTCTTATCTTTTCCTTACACTGTTTTATGTGTGGAAATTTTTGGATGGTCACTAATTTTTGTTATGTGATTATAATTGTATAGCATAATGCCCAACTACAGTAACAAGTTGAAAAACAGATAAACTTAGAAATTCATGTATTCACTCATTTCAATCCATGGATATTCACTAGGTATCAATCAGGCAGCTTAGACCTTCTAGGTGCTTATGACTCTACCAGTGTAAGACAAATTATAGAAGCATGTGGTAAATGCATGAACAGAGATCTGGGCCGTCACTGGTCACCAAGAAGGATGGTGTAAGCCTGCCTGAGAAGTCCAGGGAGGGCTTCACACAGGAGGTAGCCAGTGGGAAAGGGAGGACCCTTCCCCAGGGGAAGCAGCCTTTGTGACAATTGGCATGTGTGTGCAGAAGGCCTGGGTCTCACAGTCGCCATGAGAGTTCAGCAAGACTGACACACAGCTTACAGGTAAGTACCTGCCCTGGAGCCGTCATCTTTACCTGCAGGACTCCCCATTCGACTGAGGCTTCAGGGCCCAGGACTCTGCCGTTTCCTCCTGTGACCGCAGCGGGAAGCACAGTCCTGGGGCACAGTTTAGAACCAGTCAGTGTTTGTTGAGCAGACAAATAAGGGGAAAACGAAGGAATGAAGGCAGCCTCAGACTCGGAGATGCTGAGTACTGATGCTTCCTAATAATTCTCAAACAGCCAAGGACTTCCCAGTCGGCTTTTATTTTGCCATTAAAGGAGGGGAAGAAGGTCAATGTGGGATTCCCTTCCGTAGGCTTCTGTGGCCCATGATTAGCAGTTACTGTTTCTGTGTTTACGGGCCTTATTTCCTCCCAGACTTCTATAAGAATGTCCCTGTCCCACCACTGGAACCCCTGTCAAAGGTCGTGACTGACCACAGCCCTCTGCAGGAGGGCCCTCCCGTCCTGTCTCCCTGAGTCGGCCTCACGCGCCCCTGGGGCCTGCACACCCTCTCACTTCTGCCTTCTTTTCGTCCCCTCTGGAACACCCCAGACGTGCAGAGACCCTCCGATCCTGGCCCACACCTGGCCGTTACCCCAATCGCCTTGCGCTCGCACCTGGGCCGCCTCTCCAGCAGGCCAGGTATGGCCTCCCTGTGCCACCTACTGGAAGCCACGGGATACAGGCATCACTGCATTCACCAAACAGCCTGGAATTCCAGTCTGTCTCCCTGACTGTGAAGAGAACTGGGGCTGGGGAACAGATTTGTGTCCCAGCCCTGTGTCCCTTAATCTCTCCTAGTCCCTGAAAGGTGATCAACACACTGGTAATCCGTACACGATGTGAGTGAGAATAACACAATTCAGGGCAGCAAACTGCAGACCTTTGTGACAAGATGGTTTGTTTAGAATCGCATCCAGCTGGGGACATGGCCAGGAAGCGGATCGCCGTGATTGGAGCTGGGATCAGTGGACTGGCTGCCATCAAGTGCTGCCTGGATGAGGGTCTGGAGCCCACCTGCTTTGAAAGGAATGACGACATCGGAGGCCTGTGGAAATTTCAAGTAAGTTTGGGTTTTATCTGACTTTAAGCCATGCTGTCTCGAAGTGTGACAACCAGGGTAAAGTCTGACAAGGCGGCATGTACAGCACTCTGCAGGTGAAGAACTGGTAAGACCCCAATCTTGTTTGCATTCTGACTGAGGCAACGTGCATGTGTGACAGTTCTGGAATAGGCACTGGGTGCCCGGCAGGCTAGGAATATGGTTTGTTTCTCTTCTTAACTGTTACTTTTTACTTTATGTATTTTGAAACCATGTCACCAGGTTCATTTCAATGTACTATCTTTGTACCTCCGCGGAATGGCCCTGTATGTCGCCGTGCTCTCTGGCTCATTATCTCCCTGGTTGGCTCCCAAGGCAGCCACTCCCGTTGCTTCTGCCTGGGGTTCTCCCGTGCAAGCGTCTCTGGTGCAGCCTCTCTCTTACAGCTGGCCTAAGGAAGGTGTGCCTCTGTGGGAGGGCCTTTCCCGTTAGTGCTATTGGAGGGCCWCATGTCACGGGGTGTGAATACGTGGAGGTCAGACTCACTGTCTTGCATCTTCGTTTCATACCTTTATCATTTTTATTCCCCTTTTCTTTCTTCTGGTTGTATCTTGGTATGGTTCATCCTCTGTTTTCTTTGTGCACTGGTCTTTAGATGTCCATCCTCACCCTCTTGGGAATGGCTCCCTGGGTATCACAAATGCACCTTGACAGTGCTTTCCACTTTGTGGGTGCTTTCCCCACTTTCTGAGCAAAGCAAGGATCTTAAAACAGGGTGGCCTCCTTTCCCTTCCTACCTTCCTGGTCTGTCAGGAACCCCATGAGCAGGATCAGTGGTGTTCATCAGGCGCCTGCAGTCTCCGCGGCGCTGCCCTCAGCCCTCCGGCGTCCCCCTGTGCTTGCTCCCCTCAGTCCTGTCCCTTCCCAGTCAGCCCAGGAGCTTCCCCACACTGTCCCTGGTGCYGGGCCGCCGCAACAGACCCTCAGCTTTCCTCGTCAGGAGGCGTGGGAGCCCTTCCATTCTGAAGGGCGTGTCACGGGGCTTCCACGTGGACGTGGACATTCTTACTTCAGCATTTTAAAGGCCCGTTTCTGGCTTCCATCACCCCTACTGAGAAGTCCCTGGGGGTGTTCCTGCTGACKCAGGGTAACTTGGCTCCAGCAGGAGGGACTTAGCTCAGAGGAATCAAGGGCCAGGTACCACTTATTACATAGGAGGCCATTTCTCTTTAAGATAGTTTATTTTGATTGTCTTATAAATTTTATTATATCAAGAGAAACTTTCTCCTGTAGAAAAACCCTTCAGAGGAAATGCCGAGTATCTACAAATCCGTGACCATCAACACGTCCAAGGAGATGATGTGCTTCAGTGACTTCCCCGTACCGGACCATTTCCCCAACTACATGCACAACTCCAAACTCATGGAGTACCTCAGGATGTATGCCAGCCACTTTGGCCTCCTGAAATACATTCGCTTCAAGGTAAACATACAGCGTTCAGTGTGTGTGTGTGTGTGTGTGTGTGTGCACGTGCGCACCCACACTCACTAGCGCTGGCTGGGCAGTTAAACCTGGCCTCTCTGTTGTGACCAGAGGAAGCCAGCCTCCGGAGCGTCCCCTGGAGGGTCACGGCTTGTCATGAGACCGTTTTCAGCCTCTCCCTTGGATGCCAGATTGGAAGGTTCTGCTGTCAGAACCTGTCCTGGTGACACTCCAGCATGGCACGGTCACGGCCCTCTCTTTCTGTCTCCCATTCGACGTGTGTAAGAACGTGAAAYAATCGCAGTACTGACCGGCAAGTCACGTCCCTGTAGAGTGGGACCACAGCTTATCACAAGGAAGGGGTTCGTCAGGACCMTCGCGTCCCCCACCAGGGAGCAGCCCCTCTGCTTGGGTGCAGCCTGGTTCCTCTCTGAAACCCTGAGCCACAGGCTGGGGCGAGCACAGKCCTGGGGGAGCACTGCCAAAGGAGGACAGGTCTGGGGGGCACAGGCCTGGAGAAACACAGGCCTAGGGAGGAGCACAGCCTTGGAGGAGCACATGCTGAGAAAGGACAGGTCTGTGCTGAACCTGCAGAGCCGGCTGCTCCTGGACCACTGTGGCTCCATCACCCCCCCTCCATCCACAGCCAGGCTCCTCTGTTTCTGTTGCCTGGAAAACTAGGTTTGAGAGAAATACTCAGAATATCTTGAAAATGTGCTGCAGAAACGTGGAGAGGGGCCGGGAGGGCAGGAGTGCCGCAGGTGACTGCTCAGAGCTGGGGCTTGGGCAGGGACTGGGCTGGAGTGACAGCGAGTCCCCCTGTGCCTGTTCTCAGACCAGAGTGCAGARCGTGCGCAAGTGCCCGGACTTCCCCGTCAGCGGACAGTGGGTCGTGGTGGTGGAGGCCGAGGGCCAGCGGGAGTCCCTGCTCTTCCATGGGGTCCTGGTCTGCAGTGGGCACCACACGGACCCCCACCTGCCACTGCAGGCCTTCCCAGGTGCGTGGCCAAGGCTKGGGGGGGAGAGTGCTTTCCATGTCCACCAGGGGGCACCAGGACTGGAGGGATTCGGTGAGTCTCAGTGCACTTTCCCTGGGAGGACACAGCCACGGCCGGCCTCGCTGCCCTCTGTTGGGGGACAGGGGAGCTCCCGGGACAGGAAATGGGTGACAAGCGGCTCCTACTCTTGGCTCCCATGGTCTCCTGCAGCTTCAGATTCATGGTTGACATGAAGTGGCCACATGGAAGTGGTTTAGTTTCACGTGTATTTGTTTGATTTCACTCGAAGAAGAAAGTGAAATCAATTATTTAAAAAGGGATAAATGGCAAGCGCAGCTGAGGGCCGGAGCCCCTCAGACCAGAGCCCCTGAGCCCACAGAGGGCCTCCACCGACGCTCTGGGCATGGGCCTTCCTGGGGACTGAGACCCAGCGGGCTCYGGCCTCTGCCGCCCCTCTGCATGGCAGTGCCTCCCAGGACCCCGCTTCAGCTCCCCCMAGCCTCCTCGCCCCTGCCTGCTGGGCGCCCTCTATCCCCCACTGCCATCAGGACCAGCCAGGACCCAGCTGCCCTCTGTGCCTTCCCAGGGCTCAGGAGAAACTCTTGAGGACAGAAGAAAAGTAGAGGGCCGGGATTCAAGTTCAGTCGAGCACTTGAACGTGGATTTTGGTTGTTCAGCTGACAAATACCAACCTTACCATGTCTCCCCACAAACATTTGCAATATAAACGTCCTTGGCCTTCTGAATGCTAAAACGCATCGTATTCTGGAGATCCTCCATAATCACGGCATGATCGTGGATTCTATGACCCGCTATCATATTTATCAGCCTCCTTTTGACTTGCTTCCTGGCTGAGAAAGAGTACCCATGGGGAGACACGTGGGTGTGCATGTTTGGACAGTTGAGGGGAGAGACACAAACGTGTGCAGAGTAGGACGCAGCCTGGGAGTGCTGGCAGGGAGCAGGACCGCTGTGAGAGCCTCGGCCCAGCCAGGCTCTATGCACTCGGAACAGCGGAGACATCCAAAGAAAAGAGGGCCTCTGTGCCCCCAGAGCCTCTGTGCCCTCTGTCCCCTCTGTTCCCTCTGTGCCCTCTGTTCCCTCTGTGCAATCCACCCACCCAGACTCTGATCACTCATAACTTCCTCTACGTGCTGAGTAGGCTGTGAAATTCCTCCTCAYGCTGAAGCATTCTCTCCTCGCTCCTCAGGCATTGAGAAGTTTAAAGGACGTTATTTCCACAGTCGGGAATACAAAAGTCCCGAGGACTTCTCAGGACAGAGAATCGTTGTGGTTGGCATGGGGAATTCTGGTGTGGATATTGCCGTGGAGCTCAGTCGAGTGGCTAAACAGGTGTGTTTGCTTTCAGTGGCTTCACTACTGGAGCCCTGCGTTTTGGGGGTGGCATCCAGAATGTAGGTTAGGTTTGTGAAGGGCCCACACAGAAGGGAGTCCAGGCCCTGGCCTCAACGGGTTGAATTTATGCAGAGCGGAGGGTGGGTACAAATTAGACCCCTCCTCTTCCCAATGGGGAAGGCAGGCAGACCGACTACTGAGGACGGGGCTAAGYGGGTGACGGCAGCACAGATGAGGGAGGTGTGGAGCAAATAACCTGACCTTCCCCACGTACCACAATAGACCTGGTCCTGATAGGCTTCAACCAGCAGGAAGGAGCAGAAGGAAGAAGTCCGCCCAGGGTCAGCAGATTTGGGGATGGAATTAACAGAGAACTGGGGAAGACGGTAAACAGATGATGGTCTTTAGCTAAAAGTATTGATGGGGAGGGATGGAAGGAAACAGCAAGTGCCGCATGTTTCCCTTGATACAAAAGCAAGTTACCCAAGAGCTTCATTTGTGTGTTCATTCAACATTCTTTTCTGTCAGAAAATTAATGATATTTGGAATTTAGAGGGAAGAGAGAAATTTTGCATTCCTTATTGTTGAGCACATTTCATAGTCTTAATTAACGAATGCCCACTGGATTGTTCCAATATTCCATCTTTACTTATTTTCTTTTTTGTTATCATCTTAGGAGAAATTGYTGATAACAAATATACAAAACATTTAGTTTTTTAAAATAATATTTTCACAAGAATGTAAAGAAGTAAATACTTGACCTCTTGCACCCATCTAATTTCTCTTGTACTTTACAGACTGGACCAGTAAGTACTGCGATTCAGCATCATGATCTGACGTGTGCAAAAGCACCAATAATCTACAATATTAATTGCATCAGAATGAAGAAACATGTACAAATACTTTACAGAAAGATTTGAAAAGTGATTCTGGCCATGTTCAGTTCAGTGGACACTAGTTCTGAATAATTTGATTCATTAAAATTTTTAATGTCGATTTTTATTTTGGAGCAAGCAATATAGAAGTATATGGTAGTTAATGTGATAGCTAATTTCTAAACCAAATCCTTATTCATGCATGAAGCACAGCTGTGTCAACATCCAAGTCTACAGACAACATCCAGAGGCATACAGACCACCGAGTAAATATTCTGATTTTCATTCACAAGTTTGGTGTCACAGGAGCAACTTCTTTCTGGAAACTAGTATACAACTCTGGCAGAGCACAGCATGGTGACCGCTGCACAGTATCTCCCTTCCTCCCCTCGGAAGTCAAGCTCTTAAAATTGGAGATGGGCGAGGCATTACTAAAATAATATCCTGCACGTTTCTGACTCCTCTGTGGGTTTGCTTTCTGTCTCCCTCCTCAGGTATTCCTCAGCACTAGACGGGGATCATGGATCTTGCACCGTGTTTGGGATAATGGATACCCTATGGACAGCTCATTTTTCACTCGATTCAATAGTTTTATCCAGAAGAGATTTACTACAGCATTAGTAAATAACTACCTGGAGAAGACACTGAACTCAAGATTCAATCATGCTCACTATGGCCTGCAGCCACAACACAGGTGATACCCTGGACTTAGGGCATGGAGCCATGTGTGGGTGTGAAAGGGAAATTGCTTTAGGGACAACTGCAGTTCTTGCAATTAGCATGCATTTGGTCAATTAACCTCACACTTCATTAACATAAAGCCCTTGTAATGCGAATATAGCTCATAAACATGAGCACTTATTTCTAATTTTTTTATTGGCGTGTTACAATTATACATAATAATGGGATCCATTGTTACACACTTGTACATGCATACCATAGAACAATACAATGTGGTTGATTCCGTTTCCCAGTATCTGCCCCCCGTACACACTCTCTCATTTATTAGGCAATCATTTAAAATTTGATTGCTAAGTGTGCTCCGTGCACACGCATACACACACACACACACACACACACAGAATAACATTGCCCCTCCTCTCAGCTGGGTGTCAAGTTTATTGGGGTTGGAAAGACTTGAAAGCATGTTAGAGCAAGGAAACCCAACGGGTGCCGTGATGGCCACCAGGCAGTGTGCATGAGGCCCAACAGGACACGGTCAGTGTGGCTGATGTCGTTTGGAACTGTCAGGAAAGTGCACCTGGAGGAGGAGCTCTGAGGGCCTCCACAGTGAGCACACCCCTGTGACTGCAGGCCACCCCACAGGGTTTCTAGCTTCAGAAATCGCCTGCAGCTTCCAGTGAGAAGGTGAAAGAGAAGTGGTGTCCACACTGGGTGGAGTTAAGAAAAGAGAAAGAGCAGAATGAAAAAAAATATACTTAACAGAACAAAGTGTCCCAGAATTCAAGTACCAGAAGTCCCCAGTCACATGTCAATGGTGTCTGGAGGTGGGGCCTTCGGGAGGTCATCGGGACTGGGTGAGGACATGAAGCTGGGGCCCCTGATGGCTCTGTGGCCTTATAAGGGGAGGAAAGGAGACCCAAGTTAGCATGCTTGCTCTGTCGCAGCACATATCACCTGAGCCACCTCTGCACTCTGCTGTGTCCCAGCAGCTCCAAGGCTCTCGCCGCATGCGGTTCTTGGACATGAACCTCCATAGCTATGAGCTGATAAATAAACCTTATTTCTTCCTTTTTTTTTAGAGATAGATAGAGATAGATAGAAAGAGAGAGAGAGAGAGAGAGAGAGAGAGAGAGAGAGAAAGAGAGAGAGAATTTTAATATTCATTTTTTAGTTTTCGGCAGACACAACATCTTTGTTTGTATGTGGTGCTGAGGATCGAACCCAGGCCACAAACATGCCAGACAAGCGCGCTACCGCTTGAGCCACATCCCCAGCCCACCTTATTTCTTTATAAATTACAGTCTCTGATATTATGATAACAATGGAAAAGAGACTAAGAAAAAATATTTCATGTTCCTTATATGAGTAATTAATTGTCTCTAAAGACAATTCTAAAACAGAAATCGCTCAAATGTTCATCAAATGTGGCAAAGGCATGTGGCATTTATTGACTCATTCGTTAAAAATACTTATGATAGTCTACTAAGCTGTGGACTGGGAACAAAATCATAATAGCAAAAACAAAACTCTTTCCTGGAAAGTTCTTCAAGCCAACCTTGGCTCCACTGGTTTTCTATGTGCAGACATAGGTGGCTTCATGACAGGGGCATGTTCTGAGAAAGTCATCTTCAGGGGACCTGCCATTGTGCCCACATCATAAAATGTGTGACAGAAAGCCAGGTACCAGCATGGTTCATAGACACAGCAGAAAGAGAGCAAACACAAGGTTCATGGGCCTGCACAGGTGGGACAAGACTTACTGGTGACATGGACTTTGTTCTAAGCAGGAGCACTCTCTAAGGCTAGGTCTAGTGGAGGAAATGCATAAAATGTGGTCACCTATTATCATTACCAAGGAATGTGCACTGTGGCATTGTACATGCTCTGCTTTTACTGACTGAGAGTGCAGGAGGCTCGTGGATGCCAGCATCTGTACACGCCCATGAGAAAGTACTGTATTGTAATGGCTAGAGATCGCTGGGAATCAGGGTTTTTCCATGTTTATCTTACAGGAAGACTGTGTTTCTGCTGCCACTGTTGCCCTAACGGTTGGGCACGGTTGGGCCATGGTGCCCGACTGCCTGGCTGCCACCCATCTGAGCTTTGTGCATCTCCTTCTCTGCCTCTCCTTCTCAGTCCAGACCTCACCATCCTGCACAGACTCCTCTGGTTGTTAACCACATAGCTCTCTCTTCTCCAGCAGAGACTGTCTGGGCAGAGTGCTTGGGTGCCATGGTTTTCCTCCAAGAGAGTAAATGGATGTCTGTGGAATGGAGCTTTGGGAAGGCCAAGGTTCCCTAGGAGAAGAGTCACACACAGCAAACCCACATCTTGCCCTACCCATTTCTTCTTCTTCCTCTTTRAAACATGGATCCTTTGGGGTACTTACTTGAACAATTTAGTCATTTAGCAAATATTGTGTTAGAGAGTGTTATGGCCTATTGTTACAAGTGTTTTCTACCTCTAGCCTGGAGACTGATTTGCCGACAAGTGATAATTTGGCAGAGATTGAGATGGAGGAAGACTAATAATAGTCTAAGACTTGTATTCCAAAGGAGTCGTAGTCAAACATCGTCTTTCCTAATTTTAAGAGGTGTAAATAACTTMATACTAAAGCAAATAGGACTGTATGGCACAGACTGCAAGATATAAATGTTTTCAAGCTAAAATATAGGAGAAAACGTAGAACTGAGATGACCACACTTAGGGTACAAAATCCTCACCTCTGCCATTAGAGGCAGATGGGGGACCAGCGCAGGGTTGGGGGAAGCCTACCGCTGGCTTTGATTCCTTTCCAGATGCAGTGCTTTCTTTCTGTATATTTGCTCACTTGGGAATTTTGTTTCTACCTCCAGACCTCTGAGCCAGCACCCAACCGTCAGCGATGACCTGCCGAACCACATCATTTCTGGCAGGGTCCAGGTGAAGCCCAACGTGAGGGAATTCACGGAGACGGACGCCATCTTTGATGATGGCACCGTGGAGGCCAACATTGATGCTGTCGTCTTCGCTACAGGATACAGCTTTTCTTTCCCTTTCCTGGATGGGCTGATTGAAGTCGCTGACAATGAGGTGTCCCTGTACAAGCTGATGTTCCCTCCCAACCTGGAGAAGCCCACACTGGCCGTCATCGGCCTCGTCCAGCCCCTGGGCATCGTGCTGCCCATAGCAGAGCTCCAGTCTCGCTGGGCTGCCCGGGTGTTCAAAGGTGAATGAGGAGAGGCCAGAGCCAGACTGGCCGCTCACCCTGCCTGCCCTCGCTTCTCTTGGCCCTGGTTGTCTTGCTAGAGATCCTGACAGACTCTGCATTTTGTCTTGCAGGGCTGAGCAAACTACCCTCTGCCAAGAAGATGATGGCGGACATTGCCCAGAGGAAGAGGGCGATGGAGAAAAGGTAAGTCAAGTCAAACCAGAGTTTGAGACAAAACTCCATCCTCTACCTGGCTGGTGGGTGGGTCTGTGTGAGCTGCAGCCCTCCACAGCCCCTTCTAGCATCAGCAGCTAGCCACAGCAGGAACGCTCCTGGTGTCAGCTCCAAGGGTCGCAGCCAGCAAAGCTGGATTCTTCTCCACTACCACAGGGTGGCATGTGGCAGCTGTCGGGTGGCAGGCTGTTCCCCAATGTCACAATGGACTTCAGCAGTGCACCTCCAACTTCTTCCTGGGTTCTTGCCTCACAAATCCAAGGAATGAAATTCACAGGACAATAAAGACAAGAGTGAAAGAGTAGAATTTATTCAAGTGTGAATAGAAACAAAACTCTTCTAAGGCCAGGAAGAGACTCAGAAGGGGCTGCTGGTGGAGTGTGCTAGTCTAAGGTGTACAGAGCACTTGGGCCAAGCCATTGGTCCGAGTTTGTCTAATCAGGGGTTAGAAAAGCACCAACACTACAGTTAATCCTCGACTCCGAACCTCCATTCAGGTCTGTCCTACTTCCATTTTCCCACTGCTTGTGGGGAAGCAGGAGGTTGAGGCTGTTGGATCTTGGATGCTAGGGGGTTCTGCTGTGCAGAGTGGGCATCTCCCCTGGGCGGGCTGCCTGGGCGTGCCGGTCACAGGCCCTGCCTCACGCTCGCCCTAGCTGACGGGCTGTGTAGGGCTGTGCCCCTGCTCACTGCCTGYGCTCCAGCCCGCCTAGGCCCCTGCTCCACAGCTCTGGGACAAGGACTCGGCTTCAGAAGCATCAGGAACAGCTACTCAGAGACCTCTGCAGGATCTGCAATTCCTCACTGGGGACTCTAGAATCATGCTTCCCCTACTCAACCCCATTTTTCTCCATTTCCTACACTACATTGTTGTGCAGCACAAAACATCCCACTTCAGTTCTTCAGTAAATACCTTTATTTGTCCTTTTTAATTCACATTGAATTTAGAATCATCCTCTCCCTCAGCCTCAGTGGGAACTGGTGTTTCTTGAAGACTCACTCAACCCAGGAGCCTCGAGGGCCTGCGTGGCGGTGGGTGGACTGCCCCAGGTGGCTCCGCTTGCTGATATCCGCGGGGCCCAAGTCGGAGCCACACTTACAGTCTGGAGGCTTCTGCTGCTCTGTCTCGAGTAGGGTGCAGGACTCTTTGCTGAGRGTGGGTTCTGGGGAGGGTGGGCTAGGGGTCCAGACTCCCACACCTCCACGCAGCTTCCCTATGAAGTCTGCCTGGGTTCCTGGACTTTCATCCCAGACTTCCCCACACTGAAATCCCTCCCTCTCCTCCTTTGTTGCCTCAGAGACTTGCATCTTATTCTCTTTCATGAKCCAAGAGTTGAAGGAAACAAGCCAAGAAGGAGTCCCCTGCAAGTCAGGCATTTCTTTGGTCTTATAACAAAAACTGTTTGCAATAAGGGAACCAAAGGCTTATGCATGTCTTCACGTAGGGAAGGAAGAAGAGGGGAACATGCAAATCCGTAACCCAGCAATCACCTTGCACATTTTTGTCAAGATTCTAAAGACACTGTGGTGTGTGTGTGTGTGTGTGTGTCTCCATAAAAAGAAATGGAATTCATTCCAATTCATCCCCCACACAGACACATACAAATACACACATACACTACAGTTTCACAAATTTTGTAGCACAAAGAAAACTGTTCATTGACAAATTCTGAAGGAGAGATGGAAAGTGTCTAGTTCACTCACTAAAACCCCATGTTACTAAGCAWTTCCAGTTCACCTGTGCAAAAGGCAAGAGGAGAGCCCTGTGAAATGGCAGCACTGCTGTTTCTTGTGGGCACTGTACCTGAAACAGCCTTCCAAGCCCAGGTGGAGGCTGCTGACTCCCGCTCTGGGGAGGTCCCACGGCATGGAAGGAGTGCTCAACTCATGCAGCAGAGGTGCCTGCTCCCACACCTCTAAGGTCACATCAGAAAGACGCGCTGCCCTCGCCTCCTGTTGTACAGCCAGTGCACACAGGCTCCTGTCAGCCCACAAAACAAGTTCTTGTGCAAAGGAGACAAAAGAACTCCATCCTTAAGACACACTATTTCCAAACACTGGAGGTGCACTGCCACGGCAGACATCAGGTCCACACCACCCACACGAGGAACAGGTGTCCTGGGCTGCGCAGTCCCTGCCACTGCCCCTCAATTCCGAGAAGTGTGGGTGTGTTGGCTTTCTACTGTTTCTGCATCTTAAAGCTGTAGAACTAATTTCTTTTGGCTCTGGGACTATGTGAATCTGTCCTCTGCCTGCCTGGAGGCTGCTGGCCTCACTTCCGCCCTGTGTTTCAGGTATGTGAAGACGGCCCGCCACACCATCCAGGTGGACCACGTGGAGTACATGGATGAGATCGCCTCCCTGGCCGGGGTCAAGCCCAGCCTGCTGCTCCTCCTTCTCTCAGATCCAAAGCTGGCCATGGAGGTTTTCTTCGGCCCTTGTACTCCATACCAGTTCCGCCTCCAGGGACCAGGGAAATGGGATGGGGCCCGGAGAGCCATCCTGACCCAGAGAGAGCGCATCATCAAGCCCCTGAGGACTCGAGTCACCAGCCAGGACAGCCCCTCATCCTCCTCGGGGCTCTCCTTGGGAAGAGTGGCATCCTTCGGCCTGGCGTTGCTGGCTGCTGGCTTGACGTACATATTCAGCACGCAGAGTGCGGAATGAACACTGAGCAGGGAAGCACGTATTTCTGCTCATCTGGGATCATTACAAAGCTTCCATTACTCAGTGACACGTGCGAATATTATTTGRGATACCATACTGCTATGGAAAATGTTTAGATATGCTCTGCAAGTAGGCACATTCCCTTAGGGAACACAACCTGAGATGGGTACCRCTGCTCCTGCAAGATATTATCAATGCACAAGAAAATCCTATCATTTAAATGAAAACTGTTTAACCCTTAGGAATATTTTTCAAATGATTTTTCAAATGATTCCCAAATGATTTGACAATGCTAGATTATCCTTATAGGAATTTATAAATAAAAATTTGCTTTCCACTGATTATATTTTCTACATTATCTTTTATTTTCTACATTATCCTTTCTTCTTTCCAAGTAATTCTATCAAATTCCCATTTATGCATAAAAGCTTCAGTTTACAGGATAGAATTTAAAAGGCAAATTAAAATATTTTATGTTTCACACAAATAGTTAATACTTAAAAAAAATGTTCAACATCCCTAGCAATCAGGGAAATGCAAATCAAAACTACACTGAGATTTGATCTCACTCCAGTCAGAATGGCAGTCATCAAGAATACAGACAATAATCAATGCTGGTGAGGATGTAGGGAAGAGTGCATTCATACATTGTTAGTGGGAATGAAAATCAGAACAACCACTTTGAAAATCAATGTGGAGATTCCTCAAAAAAACACCAAATGGAGCTACCATATGGCCCAGCTATCCCATCCTTTGTACTTGTCCAAAAGAACTAAAATTATATACKATAGCAATACAACCACATCAACATTTACAGCAGCACATGCACATTAGCCAAGGTAAGGAACTAGCCCAGATGCCCAYTGATGGATGAATATTTTRAGAAAATATTGTATATATRCACRATGGAGTTTTCCTCAGCCATAAAGAAGAATGAGATCATGACATYTGCAGGAAATGGATGGAAATGGAGAACATCATGCTGAGTGAAAGAAGCCAGACTCAAAATCAAGAATCAAAAGTTCTCTCTCTTATGGGAAAGCTAGAGCGAAGTAGAGGGGACTAGGGGTGGCAGGTGAYATTGTAAAGACATAGGGGAGGTCAGCAAGGAGAAGAGGAAACTGAGGGGAAGGAAGAGGGACGGGAAAGGGGAGGAGAGACAGATGAACTGGCAAAACCACGCGACGACATGTATGAACACACCACAGTGGATCCCACCTTGTGTATRCATGTAAAACACCAATTAAAATGCATATAATGAGTGCAAGGTAGACCAGTAGACTAGAAGAGGAAGAGGGAGGKAAGAGGAGAGGGAAGGGGGGCYCTGGGGACCAAAGTGGACTAAATCAGGTTCCACGCAGGTGTAATGATGTCAGAATGAATGCAACTAGTATGTACAATTATAGTGCACCAGKAAAAGAAAATTAAAAATATTTTGCTTCAACTTATTAGAAACAGTAGAAATGCTTTTTAAAAAATTGTTTGCAAAAAATTGTTTTGAAGAAACAAAGAAAAAGTGCATCTATTTCAGGGCTTTGAACAATTTACTCTATATTTTCAATTTTTAGAAATAAGGATCACTACAGAATGCTCACCCGGGGCTGATCCCCTACCTCAGTAAGGAAGGCAGCTGCACATGGCTGTTCTCCTCACCCTGCCAGCCTCGGCCACCAGCCCTCTCCCTACGGGGACGGGGACGGCTGGCTTCCTCACTGTTGGTACGAGGGGTGCACCAGAAGGTTCTCTGCCACAAGCTCCTTCTCTCCCTCCCCCCTGTGTTTTGCCAAGGAGGGTCYTCCCTGCCTCCCTGTTAAAGTCCAGGCCACCATGGAGTGAAGACAGTAGACTGAGGGGTGTGCACTGAGAAGAAACACCAGTAGATACCCTCAAAACATCACAAAGAAATGTCAACACTTAATAAAGTCTCTTAAAGAAAAACTGAAAGTTCATTATGCTCAGAAAAAAAAAACCCACCTATCTCCCCGTGACTTCCACGTCACGGAGACATCTCTAACCACAGCACCCCCGTGGCCACCTCCAGGGGCACCACCAATGCACCTGATGGGGACCACTGACAACTGCCTGTGATGGTGTGGATGTGAGGTGTCCCCAAAGGCCCGTGTGTGAGACAGAGACKGCTCGGAGGAGAAATGGTCACATGTGACAGCCTTAACCCAGGCAGTGAATTAATCCCSTGACGGGATGAACTGAGTGGTCACTGAAGTGGCAGGCTGTGGCTGCAGGAGGTGGCCACTGGGG